TGAATAAATATTTTTTATATATTTACTTGGTACACATATACATGTGCTAGAATTTATTTTCAAAGTTCCTTACTGATTGATGGACATTTGTGTTTTTCATCATCTTTGTTTTCTAAATAATGCTCTCTGTGTCTATATTTTTACTAGTCTTTGAAATAGAATCCTAAAAGTGGGTTTGTTACAGAGTAAATACCTATTTGTTTCTGTCCCAGCATTTTATTATGAAACATTTTAAACACGCAGTATAAGTAAGAGTGTTTTGGTTATTACTTATCACCTAGACATTACCTACTATCCATTCCTTTGTATATATATCATTCCTTTTTTTTTGTTTTTATACATTTCCAAGTAAACTGCAGACATTTCTGCATTTTCCTTTTAGTAGAATTCAGTTTTTAAGGTAGAGTTTACACATACTAGAATGTATAAATCCTAGTATGCTTGCTGAATTTTTTCAAATGTGTATACCTCGATAATCCAGAATCCTGGTAAGATGTTGAACATTGCTCGAAACCCAGCAAATTATACCTCTTAACTGTCAGTCCCTAATCCTGCCCTTTCAGAGACAAGCACGGTTTGCATGCTGATTTTAAGTTTTATTGTGTAAGAGATTTTGAATGTAGTTTAGTCAGCTGCTGAATTTATTTCCCAAGGGAAAAGAGAAAAGACAAAAGTATTCTTATTACAGGGAAGGGGATTTGCTTGCGATATCCCACTGTTAACTAACAGTTGTTGGGTTTTTTTTTGGTCTACATTTCAAAATTACCAGTGCAGCGTATTTTTAACACATTTCCTCCTCTTAATCCTATAAGCACTCCTGCCACTTTGGAACAGAACTACATAGTTTGTGAGCTGCAGCAAAAAATAAGCGTGCTGTATTCTTTTATGAGAAGCCATCTGAAGAAGAAGAGTATTGTATTTTTCTCCAGCTGTAAAGAGGTACTTGTTTATTTTTCACTTTGAATTTGTTTATATTGAATTATCCCATTTAAAAGAGCAAGTTTCAGTTAGACAAATGATACTTTTTCTTCTATATTAAGAATATAGTGACAGATTTTGTGAGGGATGCTGCCTTTCTTTTAGAGGAAAGCACCTGGGATCTGCGGACGAGATTCTAAACTCCCAAGAGGGCCGAAACTGTGTCTTTACTTGAGTATCAGTGGCACCAACCGTAATCTTAGGAACATGTTGTTGTAGAGTCAGCTACAACTCATAGAGACCTCCATGAACAGATCTGAACCTTGCTGTATCCTGTGCCATCCTCACTATCTCTCACATGCTTGAGCCTGTTGTTACAGTCACTGTGTCAGGCTGTCTTATTGAGGGATTCTTGTTGGTTTTTTTTTTCTGCTAACCCTCTTCCTTTCCCAGCATGATATCCCTTTCCAAAGACTGGTGCCTCCCGAAAACATGCCTAGGTATGTGAGATGAAGTCTTACCATTCTTGTCTCTAAAGAGCACCTTGTACTCTTCCTCCAAGAAAGACTTGTTCTTTTGGCAGTCTGGGATATTCAGTACTCTTCTCCAGCTTCACTCAGAGTCATTGATTATTCTTTTAACATCCTTAGTCATTTTCTAAATTTCAGCTTCATAGCAAGTAATTGAAAAGACCCTGGCTTAGATCAGGTGAACCTTCATCTTTAAACTGACATCATGACTCTTCAGTACTGTGGAGATGTTCTTGGTAAGCAGGTTTCCCAACGCTACATGTCTTTTGATCTCTTGACTACTGGTACCAAGGGTATTGATGATAGATCCAAGCAAGGTGAAGTTGTTGACAGTTTGAGTCTTTTCTTCATCTATCGTGATGTTGCATGTTGGTCTAGTGGCAAGTATTTTTGTCTCCTTGATGTTAAGGTGTAATCCACATTGAAAGCTGTACTCATTGATTTTCTGCAGCAAGCATTTTAAGTCCTCTTCAGTTTCATCAAGTTGTGTCACCTTCATAACACAGGTTGTTGATTATTTTTAATCTAATCCTGATGCCATGTTCTTCTTCATAAAGTCCAGCTTCTCACATAATTTGCTCAGCATACAGATTGGAGAGGTATGGAGAAAGGATCTAGCTTTGACATATACCTTTCTTGATTTTAAACTATGCAGTGTTCACGTGCTTTGCTCATGTAACCGCTTCTTGGTCTAGGTAAAGGTTTTGCATGAACATAATTAAGTATTCTGGGATTCCCATTCTTCTCAATGTGAACTCTAATTTCTGTGACCCATACAGTCAGTGCCTTTCCATTGTCAATAAAACACAAACATTTTTCTGGTGTTCTGTATTTTGAGCCAAGATCCATTTGACATCATCAGTGATATCCTTGGTGCTATAGCCTCTTCTATTATCCAACTTGAGTTTCAGGCAGTTCTCTGTTGATATACTGTTCTAGTCATTTTTGAATAATCTTCAGTAAGGTTTTACTTATATGTGATATTAATAATATTGTTCCATATTTCCACATTCTATTGGATCGCATTATATTTTGCACTGGGAACACATATATATCTCTTCCAGTCAGTCTTTCAGATTTTTTGGCAGATCCTGGTGAGTAATATGTCCAGTGCTGTATCTATTTGTTATATCAATTGGAATTATGTAATTTCCTTTCCCCTTGTTTTTTGCCCAATGCCGTCAGTGCAACTTGAATTTCTTCCTTCATTACCATTGTTTCTTGATCATATGCTGCTTCCTGAAATGATTCTGTGTCAGGCAGTTCAGTATTGCAATCAGTAGCCCTCAATAAGTATTAGAAAAATTAGTATTTGAATGGATGAGACAAGCAAAGATCTTTATAATCTTGCACGCCTTCTTCAGTATTGATCTAAATGTACCAGAGTGGTACATGTCATTATTGACCCATTCATGCTGATAACAGGAAGATTGGTTGAGAACACTCTCAGATACCTTAGTGGAATGGCTTGGCTATCTACTTCTAAACAATTAGCTATTGAAAACCCTTGAATTGACTTGGGAAAGTCTGTTGTCATGGACGTTTTCAGAGTTCTGAAGAGCAGTGATGTCAGTCTAGATACAAAGATGTGCCTAACCCAGGCCATGGTTTTCTCAATTACTTGTTATGCTTCAGAGAGTTGGACAGTGACTAAGAATGACAGAAGAAGAATAGATGCCTTCGATTTGTGGTGCTGAAGCAGAGTCTTGAACATACCATGGACTGCCAAGAAAACAAATAGGTCTGTCTTGGAGAGGGTAAAACCAAGTCTCTCCTTGGAGGCTAGGATTTTGAAGCTCTGCCTCACTTACTTTGGGCATGTGGTCAGGAGATTGCGGTCCTTGGAGAAGGGCATCATACTCGGAAGGGTGGACAGACAGCACAGAAGAGGGAGACCCCACATGAGATGGTTTGATACAGTAACTGGGGCAATGGGGGTTTGTGTGTCAGAATTAATGAGACTAGCTCAGGACGGGAAAGGGTTCAGAGCTGCTGTACACAGGGTCACTATTCATCACGGGTGACTTAACCAATACCATTCTGTGACAGGTTTGGAAGCAGGAGTGGCATCCACTTCTTGAACAACATGCCTCCGAAAAGTCTATGAACTTTAATAAATGTTGATAGTTGTAGAAGGGCTTCAGGCCTTTTGTTCATAGGGTCACTATAACATGTGCTTGACTTGAAGGCAGTCAGTAACAACAACATATAGGTGACCTAATAGTAAGATGGTATACCAATTGAAGTATTTCAGATAACAGATGTTGCCCTGGATGTGCTCACCAAGTTGTGCCAAGAAATCTGGAGAACAACCACTT